GAGGAGGATGCTCACTCGAATGGGCACATGGGACAATGTGGGGGTGGGAGCATCCACGCAGTACAGCGGGCTTGTGTCCCCTGGCTGCTTCACATGTGGACAGCCCTGATGTATATTCTTTATTCCTCTCCCATAAACTCTGACTTTAAAATTATAGGACATCAGAAAGGAATTCATTGTTAGAGTTCCAACTGAGTTTCCTTATAAAGCTGATTTTGTTCCCCAGCTCCATGTAACCCACAGACAAAAATATATATTATCTGTAGTAAAGATTAAATAAATTTATCAGACCTGAAGTGTTCTGATTTCCTGAACACACATGAAAAAATAAGGTATTCAAAGTTTAGCTCTCCATACATACTGCACAGCAAAAAAAAAAGTTAGAAATATTTTTAAAACATCCAAATCTTGGTAAACTGGACATGTCTGACAACCCTGCATACAGGGCTAAGTTTAACTAATTAAGACTTGTAAACAACAAGATTAAGAATGGTTTCCATCTCTAAACAATACTTCAAGAATTTGATTTCTTGGCAACAGGTTTGGGGTGGGTTTTATACCATGGTAACTACAAACCCTTAGAAATCATTTTGCTTATAAAGGTACAGATATATCTTTTCAACTTCTGCTTTCACCACAGTATACTACTTTTTGGTGTGGTACCCATTTACAGTATAAACGCTTTAGGGTAGAAACTGCAATTTTTAGAGTTTTGTGTAAAAAAAAAAAAAAGCTAGTACTTATGGTCTGTTAGGCAATTAGTACTTACAATGTATTTTCTTCTGCAAATATAGCATCTTCTTCATGTGTTAGTGCGCCAACCCCACCAGACAGTACTAAAATAGTCTGCTTAGAAAAGAAACAGATTTTACTTTGTCACAGTATACAGCATTTACATTTTTACAAGACCAAGTGTTTTACAATCAGACTTAATAGTACTAAATCCTATTTTATAGTCTGACATATATTCAGATGCCATACAAATGAATTATGAAACTTGACCAGATGAGATTACAATACAAACAGGTAATTTGGATTAATCATTCCAAAAAGACCTGCTGGAATCAAATAATTTCTTCTTCAAAACGAGTTTTAGAAAGAGAAAAAGGGCCTTATAATATGTTTGTACTTTTGTTCTGAATTCTGTAACTTCCTGCTTTGTCGTTAACTCCACACGTGTCCCAGGCTGCAGTTGTTACTGCACAGACCCAATGCTGCATGGGCCTTTTTGCACTCAACTGCACAGTCGTGTCAGCGTCACAGTTTGTGCCCACTATCACTATGTCACCGTAGCAATGAGCTATGGCGATGTAGCGTCTCATGTAGACATGCCCTCTGAGATGCAATTTATGGCTTTACTCCTGCAAAGACTTGCGCTCCACATTTAACATGCCTGCATTAGCAATTTTAGCACTAAAGTTTTTGCAGGGTTGCAAAGTACATATTCCATTTATTTCTGCGCATTTACATACCTTCTTAGTATTTATTTTACAGTTCTTTTACATTTAGGAGCTTTTCAGGTACATAATTTCTCACATACCACAAGTTTCTCTGCACTTCCCCCGCCTTTAACAGCATCATTGCTGTTGATTTTATACAACTTTTATATATCTTAAAGTATATATAACTTCATAATAGGAATCAAATTATGGAACTAACCATCAAGCCTACCTAATGTTAATGAAAGGGGTTTTTTTATTTATTTTTTTTACTTGAATTTTAAAATAACCTGAAAACCCCAAGAAGATTACTTTTGGGGCACTTCATAATTAGGGCTTGACTGAACTCAAGGAAGTGGCCAACTGATTTTGCGAGCAGATCCCAGGGCCAGCCACCATTTTTGTGGGCTGAGTGCAATGGGTCCCCTACACTTTTGATTGGCTAAGGGGCAACAGCAGTCCCACCCCTCCTTGCAGATTGCCACATTGCTTGAAACCATGGCTTAATTACCTTAATTAGGGTAGTAATTAGGTAATTAGGTAAATACCTTAATTAGGGTAGTAAAAAAAGCTGCAGTTTTGGGCCATCACCAAGCAGCTGGCTCTGCACTTTTGGTGGGTTTGCTTAAAAAAAAAACAAAAAAAAAAACCCAACAACAACAACCAAAAAACAAAACAAAAAAAAACCAAACAAAAAAACCCAAAAAAACCCCAACCACAAATGAAAAACCAAACCAAACCAAACCTTACTGGCAAGCAGAGAAAAGCACATGGGAAGCCCTGCAGTCTTGGAGCAAGAGGGGGAAGGGGGGAGTAGAGGCTGCTGTGACCAGCCTCCCTGCCCTGCCCCCTGCCTCCCTCCCCATGCTCCAAGACTGCAGAGCTTCCTGCATACTTCTCTGTTAAACCTGTAAGTTTGTTTTTTTTTCTTTTTCCCCCTTAGTGAGCCTGTGCTTTTTCAAGGAGGCCACCCGAAATTGCAGTTTCCATGAAAATCATGCAATTGCCATTTCGGTAGGTCCCCATTCATAATGTACCATTAGTAAATTGAGGTCCTTAAAAGCAGGGGGTTATATTTCAAAAGTAAAAAAAAACAGGGTATTTTCTCTTTGAGCTATACGTGAGTGTGGGGAAAACAGTGCTTAGCTGGCATACAGGGATATTTTTTGCTTTTTCAGTTGTGGTCAGGAGAATAAGGACAAGCCCATCCCTAGGCAAGCCCTGGGTGTACGCTTGAAGATACATTTCAAATTTAAAAATCATGCAATTTCAGTGTTATTCACTTTGATTCTCTCTTCAATTGTACTGTACCCACAAGGAATTTTGTGCATATTGGAATCCAGATGACTATATGAATGTGGTGGGGAGAAGTTGCTGGCACAAAGGTAGAGAGTAGGAGGTGATGTGGTCAGAATCAAAAGTGTTTGTAATGCTATAAACATCTTTATCTTCAAGATTTTACTTTTAGTATCTACAATACTAACTGTACCTTAACATTTTCTATTATGGGGACTCTTCTAACAAGTTCAAGAAAGCTTCTGAAAAAGTGTATTAGAAAATACATTTTTTAAATACCCCAAATTCCATTTCTCAATAAATCTCTTAATAGGAAAATATCATTAAAATATTCCATACCTTTGATTCTTTTGACTTTTTCTTCTTGTTTTTGTTTTTAACTTTGATACCATTAGTCTAAAACAGAAAAACAGAAGTCAACAACTAATGCTATGCATTAATTTACAATCTGTTTCCGATATGTATACATAAATAAGTAGTGCTTCAATTTAAAAAGTCTCCTTTTGGTTGGAATAACAGCATGATATGGCAAGCACCATGCTTTTTCACAGATGGAAACTGTTGGGGGTGGGGGGGAAGAGGGAGGGTGGCAACACATAGGTAGAACTTCCCATTTCAACAGCTCTACTCACAACTTTCCCGAGTTTCCTTCACCCTCTACTTCCACTCCAAGGAACACCGGTTTTGAAACAGGGGCAGGTGTTAAAATAATGGTGCGATTGGGATTTGAGGAATTTTGTGCTGCATCCCAAAAGATCCATGTCCTGCCATGCCAGATGCGCATGGCAGGATGTTTGAGATGGGGCATACAATTCCCCATATCCTAACTGCATCAGTGCAGCACTGCCCTTAGCCTGATGCTGCAGATTGGGCAGGGAGCAGATCTGCCCTGGACCTTGGTGCTATCCTGCAGCCAATCCAAAGATCATCTGAGCACTGGCATCAGACATGAGCAGCCCCAAGAGTCTCAGTTCAGGACCCTATCCCCAGGTGCACCAGCCTGGAGTTCTGCAGACCAAAAAGCGTCATTACAAGTGTGGGCAGAAGCTACATGACAGACACTTAACTGGGTGACCTGAGGCAGCAGGGGAGGGGAAGAAGGCAGTGGACTACATTTGATTTTTAAAATAAAACTTGTAAGGGGTGAGAGACTGGAATACCTAAGAAGAGGCAAGAGACTGAGATGCTGAATGTGAGGCTGATTGCATCATGAGACACATGGGACATGCGAGGGTTAAGGGAGAGACAGGGGTACAGATCCCTATAAATAAATACCCCAGGCAAAGATGAGGTCTGTGGGATCTCCTCCTCATCACCTAAGACTACCTGCAGATCCCCCAGACAGACATTCTGAATACCTGGCTACAAGGAGACACTCTGCCCTCAGGATTACTTAAGATCTATGCATGGCTTTTGTTGACTTCTGGGGTCATTATGTTGCATTTTAAGTTAAAGTTGTGTGTGCTGTCACTGCACCTTACTGGGCTGTCTTAGCCAACACAGAGTTTTTCTGTTATTCTTCATTGCATACTTGAAATTGCAAATTACTGTGCTCAATAAATGCTCTCTTCAGAGAATGGCCTATTCTTGTTCAAACACATTCATGAATTCAGTGCCACTACCTAAAGTCTAATACTCAGTTTAGTAACATAGGGCTGATGCTGACAATCAGCTGACTGTTGACATCTCTGGGACTGCCCCAGTCTGGAACATGGCGCATGGCAAACTTTTAATTTAAGCTGCCATATAAAGCAGCTTTGTGGGTGGTTTGTCTTATACATACACATGTATAGTGTAGAAATGGTGCAATTAGCACACTAATCATGCCATGGATCTCATGTCTGCCAGGGGCCAGGATTTAACTTTTTTTGTTTGTTTCCACTGCTTTATTCCCCAATGAAGTAGCACTACCACCTGTGACTTCTGTAAGAACAAGTTGTGATGTTACGAACAACTTCTGCAGAGACAGAGCAAGTGTTGAGAATTTTTTTTGTACAAAATCTCCACTAACATTGAGGTCTTGTATTCACTTACCACATTATCGCAACTACCTGAAACCTTATTTCTGCTCCAATGTTTTCCTGATACAAGAATTTGCTCTTTCAGTATATGTATTATTTGAAAGTCCATTTTCCATCAACATAAGTAACTGTGGCAAATTTTGGAGTACCATATATTTTTTGCAATGTGAACAATATGCCAAAAATACAAATCTTTTTATTGCAATGAATTTTGCATTATTCTTAAAATGTTTACCCTGGAATTTAAAACTATTAAAAGGTTCCACACACCCTACACACATTAAATTACTTCAAAATGGGAATTGTCTATATTAAGTAAACTGTTCGACACACACAAACTAAGATACAATATACATGAATTTTCAACCACAAAAATTTCAAACACGTGAGCACTCAGCCAAATGTGCATCCTATAAATCCAGGTAAAAGAAAGCTAAAGTTGTAAGATAGCAAGAAAGAAGTGAAATATGGTTCAAAATAATGGACAACTACAGCTGCTATAAATGTTTTTTCAAATCATAGTTCTGTTCAGAAAGCATCTGTAAATATCTCAATGTGCAATTCCAAGTTTGTCATCTTACCGAATTCAAACACACACCCGTTTAATTTATTAACAGAAAGAAATCCTTCCTACTGGTAGGCCTACAAACTCAACTTGAGATCATAAAGTCAAGCACTTAATATTTTGATATATAAAATAGGAAAAGTTGTCAGTTACTGCTGGTCATGGTCAGTGTTAGCATTCACCATGCAAAGGCAAGACAGCCCCCACTTCAATACCCGATGCTTAAGTATGCAGAATTGGCAGTTGGGAAAAAAAATGTTATTTTTACTTCTAAGCTGAGCGCGCACACCTAAATTGGTCAGTAAAAATTTACAGAGGCATTTTCACATTAAAACCATATATCACTACTAACAAATACTGTATTTAAAGCTCTCTCTCAACCTCTGGTCTACCAAAACAAGGTTTGCCAAGTTACATTTTTCTCTTCTAAAACCCGAAATGTATTATACCAAGCTGCATATTTTGTAATGGAGAAAAAAAAAGCTTAACAGAATTATGAGAAATGCAACAGCAGTCCTGAATTATTTTTCTATACCTTTTTCACTTAAGACCTGAATAAGTATTTTTTTATACTTTAGGACTGCCTTTATTTATATAATCAAAGAAATAAAATGTACACAAAAATTTCCCTTCCTACTTTGCAAGTCCCTTTAAAAAAAATACAAAAGTGGACAAGCATTTTTCTTCGTATTTGTTTCTACTTCAAATGTTTTCTATTGACCACAAATAAAATATTTATTGAAATTTCAATTTTTATTAGAAGATGTAAAGATAACTTACTGAAATATCTTCATTTTCCTGTTTCTTTATTATAACACAAGGATCATCTGTTGAAAGAATATATTAAATCACTTTCAAGAAAAACAGCAGCCAAATTATTCATGTTCTATATTGAGGTTTTAAGGGATAATATATTTTAATTTTTTTAATATTTGCTGAAAGTTTTTCTGTATGGTCAAATCTGAGAAGAAACACATGCTCACTGGGATTAGTTGGATGCTTAAAAAGGCAAGTGTGAGCATTATATTTTGAAGAATTGGGACATATTAAAAGAACATAGTATAACTTGCCATTCAACATCCCTTAGAGGCTTAGTAAATTCAAAGATATTTTGGGGGATGGTATCTTTTACTAGACCAAATGCATAGTTGGAAGAGATTTTAGACAAGTTTTTAAGCAAAGTGTTCTTCTTCAAGGCAGCTGAATTCTCAAAATAAAAGAGTGATAACATTTTATCTTCAGAATAAAATGAAGCCCTTTAAAGTTACTACAAGAAGTGAGAGTTGCAGTTTCTCAACTAATTAAATCACATTCCTGGACTATATTGCATGGGGGATGTGGTTCTGGTAATAAAACAATGAGCCTATCCTTACTGAATATATGTGCAGTGTCAGAGGAGCCAGCTGCACACTGCATTTTGTAGACACATTTTTTAAATACATTGGGGGAATTTACACGTATGCACATTAAAAAATAATCAGCAAATTTATCACCAGCAATCTAAAGAAATCTATTAAAAGTGATCAAGCCGTCATTTAAAAATACTCCAAAACAGCACAACGTAAGTGATGCCCAATACTGGTTCCATTTTATTTAGTTAATTCCCAACTGTACTAGTTGCATCTTTCTTACATGATTCTGTGCCTTTAGACTTTGGTTCAGCCCTTAACATGGAACACAAAATATCCTACACCGAGTTTCTATCTTAAGTGATAGTGTTGCCACTTTTCCAGGATAATTCAAGATAACATATCTTGAATCTTGAATGCAGAGCGTAAAAAGGAAGGCAGAATAGGACATACAGAAAAGATAAGCTGTATGCATTTACCCATTATATCAAAGAATACATCTAAAGCGTGGTGCAGAGATGGAAATTTTTCTCGATTATCTTCTAATAACCATATTACACAACGAGCTTCTTCCAATGACGCTTCATGGAAACAGTCAAGTATTTCTTCGTCTTCAGTGCTAGTCACAACACACCCTAACTTACGACCATACTTTTCATTCCAGAGACCAGTTATAAAGCTAAGGTCAAGCTTTTCAACAAGATGGCCAAAAGATGAGAAAAACTTTTCTGCAGCTTTCAAACCTGAAATTAAAAAAGAAAATGAATATTGGGTAAAACCAAAAAAATCAGTCAGTAGTCCAGGTCATTTTAGTGTTGGGTTTGCAGTCTGACATTTTTCACAAAATATTTTGTTCCAAAAACTATATGTAAAAGGTGCAGAGATGAGAGGTATGGGGACTGTAGCTGTGAAATATAAAAGCAAACAAAAGAGACCTGTAAGTTATATCATTTTTGTACTACCCACTTCAAAACATCTGTGTCAACTCTTGTGAAGGTGTGTAAAAGAATCCAATTAAAAAACCAAAACAAAAAGTGATTTACTCCTGTGCTCTGCAATACTACATTTTACATCTCGTTCAATTATAAAATATACCTAATATTTTCACTGGACTACAAAGAAAATTAAATTGTACAGCATTACAAAAAAAAAGTTAAACTGACTTCAAGGTATGGTCAGATAAAAAGAAATTAATGTTATTCCAGCCTTCAGGAACAAGATCACTAATAAAGGTTTGTTTTTAATATTTAGATCACTCTGTATAAAATATTAGGGGTATATGAAGCGGTCTGTATTCGATTTGGATTTAGCCCTATTTGGGGGACAGTGATTTGATTCACTGATTTGGATCACTGTCCCAATTTGATTCGTCCGAATTTGAATCTGAAGATTCAATGCAATTTGGCCATAGCTTTAAATGTCTTTTCTGCATACTTTGAGGTACCAGGTGCAGCTCATGAACACCGAGATCATGGGGCGGAAGGAACATCCCACAGGAGTGCGGGGTCCCCCCGCATGCTTGGCGACAGGCCTGGAAGTGGACCAGAAGTACTTCCCATTTGCTTCCAGGTCCACTGCCAAACACACGGGGAACCCCCCACCCCTCCGGCTCAGCCGCAGGGGGGGTACCCTGGGTGCACCCCCAGACCTAGGGGGCACCAGTCACCAAACTGAGGGGATCCCCCGTGCACTCATCAGCAGACCCAGAAGTGCTTCTGGTCCACTTTTGGGTCTGCTGCTGAGGACGCTGGGGACCCCCTTGCACTCCTGTGGGACGCTCCATCCACCCCACCATCTCAGCATTCACGAGCTGCCTGGTACACCTTGAGGTGCGTAGAAAAAAAAAACAAAAAACAAAAAAAAAACCCCACATTTAAAGCTGTGTCTGTCCGAATTGTCGAATCTCTCCAAATCAAAATCGGAGGCTTCCAATTGAATTCGCAGAGAGTAATGGGTTTCCTGATTCGATTTGGAGACTAGCCCGCCGAATTGAGCCGAATCTCCTCCGAATCAAATCAGCAACCGAAGCTTCACACAGCTTTAATAGCATTTTCTCTTCTGCATTTCAAAGAGGTGAATTCTCTTTGCCTGAGCCTTTTCCCTAAAGCTGACAAAGCCCTGATCAGCTGTAAAGAAGTCAAAACATCAGTGTATCTGCCATTCAAACAGTCTTCATTTAGGAAACTGGGTCCAGATCCTCAGTAGGACTTGGAAATTAACTGCCTGTAGACACAAATTGTTCTAAATTTTATGAAATGCAGCATTTTAAAAATACAATCCCTGCTTCACAAAGTAACTGCAAAAACGGCACCAGGCCATTCAAATGCCTTCCCTTATCATACAGGCAGTGACAATTTATTTTACTGATTCTGCCAGCAGTGCAGAGCCATACTGGATCGCCCAGATGCAAATTTTGGTAGCAAAACATATGACTAGCAATTGAACATGAATCAGAAAGAACAAAGCTTAACTTCAAGATCCAAAGTTAAGAATCAAAGCAGACTGTTAGGCAATACATCTCTTAATTTGTAGGCTGAAGTTAGCATGTTATTTTTCTCTGAATATAAGAAAAAGCGAAGAGGAAAAGTGTAATTGATTTCCATAACTGCATAAGCAAATTATGTTCCCGCAGAACTAATGACATATAACCTACCAAAATTGTTAAGATGTTTTGCCCACTCATGTAATTTGGGATCCACTTCTTCAAACTCACTCAGTACATGGATAAAAATTCTTGTCTTTACTCTATTTTTTTCCTGAATTAAGTTACTGATGAACTGCTCCATCACTTCATTTGATAAACTACTGTTGATGGAACATGCTGCATAATCTTCCTTACTTATTATCCACCATGAAAGTAATTCACTAAGAAGCTTGGAGGTGTCACATACACCTGTTTTTATTTGCTCAGCATTTTGTATAATATACTGCAAGACTCTATCACCAGCAAATAAGCACTCCGGAACATGACCTGTAATAAAACAAAGCAAGATTTCCATGTCAGTTTACAAAACCTGGAAAGCAGAATCAAACCAAATTACAGAAAAGCTTGATCTTTTTAATCACAACTCAATGTCTTCTGAAAGCCAGTTACAGGACATTCTACTTCAGGGGAGGGCAATTATTTCAGGTGGAGGGCCGCTTACTGAGTTTTGGCAAGCCATTGGGGGCCGCATGACAGGCAGCCAGGGGCAGATGAATATTAATTTGCTAAATTTTTTAGGGGCCCCATGGGCCAAATAGAATGGCCTGGTGGGCCGTGTCTGACCCATTTTGTCCACCCCTGTTCTACTTCTATTTGTCATAAGTGAACTAACACTGAATTTTTCCAACTGATAAATTAATCTGACATATTGAAATAAGTTTCAATAAAAGAGCAAATGGTGATGCCCTTAATTAATATTGGAAAACCTTATTTACTTATAACTGTAGCCTCAAAATAAGTGTCTGCACAGATGTAGGATGTGCATGCACCTTTTGGTTCCGAGCCCCGATTCTCCAGAGCAGCAGCAAACAGTGGCAAATGCACGCATTTAAGCATTAGTTCCTAAGGTTCTATTGGAAATCTGATTCTGCCCCAACTCAAAGTCTTTGTAAAAAGACATTAAAGAAGCAAAAAGATGGGTGGGGAAACATGAGAACTACAGACATAAGCAGTCTTTCAAGAATGGTTCTTACAGACTGCCACATCAGAGAAATTAACAGACTATAACAACTTACAGAGGTGATGAGTCTGAAGAGAATTAAGGGAACCCACAAGACCAGCTTCCCACACTTGGCATCAAAGCTAGTACTGGGCCAAGAGTATCATGCAATTGCCCGAAATGAACAAGCACTGGGGCAAACTTAAGTATCTCAGTGCTAGAAACTTCACCTGATTGTAAACAATAAACGTAGACATGTTAGAGTCCACCCTAAAACCTGTTATAGCAATGCACCTCAGAAGACATAACTCTGGCATCTGTGCTCCTTTGCCCCTCCCTCTGGGCTTATGACTGTATCTGTTCTTATTTTAATGGTATCTATGAGTCTTTTTTTATCTTGAAGATGTATGACCTAACACCAAGGTTGCCAACAGTCAGTAAATAACCAGGCTAAAAGTTCCTGTTTATGAAATCCTTAAAAAACAAAACAAAACAAAACAAAACAAAAAAAACACACCCATCTTTACTGGAAAAAAAAGATTAAGCAACTGGAGCCTGATTCCTGAGTGGAAAAGAAGTGGGATGCAGTGTTGAAGGACAGACAGAGTACAGTAGCACCACCTAGGGTCTGAGCAGGAGCTCAGAATCCTGAAGGGAGTGCTTATCAGGGCTTCATGGCTTATGGCAGCATTTCTCAACCCAAAAGTGGGTTGCAAGAATATTTCAAAGGGTTGCAAGCTGTGGCAGGGCATAGGGGCAGCAGGAAGGTGCCTGCTCCTTCCAGCAGGTAAAGGGAGCAGGGGAGAGCTGCAGGGCTGGGCTGGTGGCACCAGCCCTGATGCCTGTGCTCACAGGGACTGTGTGGCAGGGAGATGCTTCTCAGGGGGCAGAAGGGGCCATGACCATGCTGCCTGCTGTAGTGTGGCAGCCACAGCCCAGGGCAGGGTGCCACAGGCCTCTCCTCTTCCCTCCAGCCTGTGCCAGGGCTGGATTTGCTCCATGGCTGCCCACATGAACCAGAGCCACAGCAGCTACAGTGCTCTGGCCCAAGCAGGATGGGGGCAGCTGGGGGCCCCTCTGGCAAAGATCAAGCGGCAGGGGACTGCAGGTCAGGAGTGAGGGACACCAGCATGGCTCCGAGGGGCAGGGAACTGGGGTTTGGGCACTGACAGGGCCAGGGGGCTGTGGGTCAGGACAGGCCATAGACCTTTGCAAACGGGTCCTGATAGGAAAACGGTTGAGAACCACTGGCTTACGGGACTCTGTAGCTTCTTCCCCAACCCCAAGTCACGTGCTGGTACTGCATCCCATATGCATGCAACACTACTGGGTGCCAGGTAGGCAAAAAGTCCTTCTGGGGTCTGTGCTGGGACAGGGGAAATAGGGCAGGTGGGAGCAGCATGTCATGGGGTGTGGTTGGGGGGTGTCAGGGTAGACAGGCAAGTAGGGGATTCCTGGGGTAGCAGAAGCATAGTGTAAAAAACTACTGCTGCAGTCAAGCAGGTACATTTAATACAGTACTTATACCATCACATGGTAACACTTTCACCTACCTTTATGGTCACGTTTAGATTCACTATTTTCTTTCTGATTTTCTTCTACTCTCTCTTTTACAGAATTCAGCGTTTCTTCTTTTACATATTTTCTCCTTAATTTTTTATCTTGTTTTATTTTCAGTTTCCTACAACTGATAAAAACAAAAAACTCGGCTATTGATATGTTGTTTTTTCTTTCTTAATTTATAAAGAGTATATTCACACATCTTTGCAATAGGCAGGAACGCAGAGAGCTGACCTTAGATGTACCCTGCCATGGTGAGCATGCACAAATTTACATCTACAGCAAGGGTGTCAAGATTCAGTTGGCAGGCCACATTCCCTGCCAAAACTCAGGGGGTTAATGTGGCAAACGCTACATGTAAATACGTTCCTGTGGTCTCTTACAGTAGTTGCTACTGCTGCTCAGCTCTGTTGTGAACCGTCACCAAATTTTTTGTCACCAAAAGCAACTTAGAACAGTAAAACAGGCCACACTGTTTAGCCTACCCACTGTGTTGGCTGCCCCAAAATCACCTGAACTGGAGGAAACTAGTGAGGAATAGAGCTGAGATGCAGAAGTCACCTGAAAACTGGCCAGCAGCTAAGTGTACCAGATGATGACCCATCACCACAGGCTATGTGTTTTGATAGCTCTGGCTAGATGTTAGGTTATTTTAAAACAATTTCTAAAACATGATAGCTCAGCTAAACTCAGGGAATTCATCTTTACATTTGTGTCTTATTTCTTATTTCTTGGGATCCACAGTCTAAATTTAACAAACTCCTAAATGAGACAATTTTAGTGATTACCGTATTCCTATATATATTTTTACTTTGGAAACATTCAGAGAAATAGGATGCTGACAAATCTCCACAAAATCTGTATTTTTTAACGTGAGAAATATGAAGATTTGCATTTCCCAAGCTCTCTTTCTAATCTGGCATACCAAACCCTCACAGCCTAATGTGTGAGTATTTACTACCTTACATGAACAGCAAACGTAAATGCCTTCAACAATTTTCCAGCAAGGTCAATACCATGTAAATCAAATATATGCCAATGTGTAACATATACAATTCAGTTTCAAGCGACAGGCTTTTAGTATTCATGAAAGAGTATAACAGATATGAAAAAGGATGCAAGATACTGGTAGCGTTCAATACTTTCCCTCCAAGGTAACATCCCTTAGCTACCTGGAATATACAAAAGAAGAATGGCTGCAAACTCCAGAAGGGTAACTCATACTCCTATAAGCAGGGGTATCAAATATACGGCCTGGCCTGAGAAGCCCTATTATCTGGTCCCAGTGCTGCCTGTAGGTCTTGAAGCTGACCCATATGCAACATACATCATGCAGGTCTGGTCCAAGATGCACACTGCAAGTGCCTGCTCCGGCCAGTCCAAGACATGTGCTGGACCCAGCATGGAAAACTGGTCTGTGGGTCCAATCCAACCCATGGGGACAGTTCCACACCACTCATTCAGCCCACAGTGCCAGATGAATTTGACATCTATGTCCTAAGGTATGGTGTTTTCTGGAGTTGCTCATCTTTCCTAATATACATTTATTTCATTGCTGCTCACAATCTTAGAAATATTGCTTAATTGTAACTAGGCTTCAGATGCAGTAGAGATGACAGGGACAATTTACATCTGTTACAGGTGTAAATTCACTGAAGTCACTACAGTCACAGCAGATATTAAGCTGACTGTTTGATTTCCCATGCATAGAGAATTTAAGAGGACTGCTTCGTACAGATTCATGTTTTGTAAGTTTTTTCAAAGTTACAAGCAATTTTTTTGTTTTAAATTAAGTTCTTCGGAAACTGATGGCTCAACCAAGGAAATGTTAATATGGCATATTATCAACTTGATTTGAGCCCAGATTGAGGCATTTTATATATGCATAGTTCCTCATTTTCAGATAAAAATTCTTTCAGGACAAAGCACCGAAATAATTTCCATGCTGTTTCTTGCTCTCAAAATTTGCCCACCTTTCTAGAAACAAGGTGACTAGAATCAAAACAACAGGTATGTTTGTTAGAGCCCTAAACGGAAAATTTCAACAATTTCTGAAATGTGTCTTCTTTCATTGGCACTGATCATCCTCAATTCAATGATTTAACTTGCTTATTAATACTAGACCTCTTACCTTGAACACTTCTGCTTAATGCTGGTTTTGGGTGGATCCTTAGTTTTTGTGATTTTTTCTTCAAACTACCAAAAAAAAGCCAATAGATTAATTGATCCAAGCTCTACTGCAAACTTAGCTTTCTGAAAATAAACACAAATCTGACCCTTCCTTAGGTGTCTCAGAAATGGGTAATATCTATTTGAGACAGAAATTGACATGAATTATTTTTCTAAGTCCCTCAAGTTCAAGAAGGTGCAGATGCTAGTTGTAGAACAGAACATCCCACCCCACTGGAGACAGAATCTGGCATAGATGGTCTCACGGGCTGATCGGCTGGAGATCTGCTTTGCTTTTGGGGGTTCCTGTGGGGTCGGAAGCAGATAATAGGGAGAAAAAGCACTATTCCTTGCAGTTTAATTTGTATGCAACACACAGGCACAAGAAAAAGACAAAGAACTTTGTTCAACATAAAAAGGTTTTTCTTTTTTATATACTTAATTTGGCAAGGAAGATCAGCTCCTACTTCGTCCTTATTCTTTCCCCCAGAACTTACTATGAGATAAGAGATTTTTTCGTTCTTACAATTTTGGGGATATAACAATAATTGTACTGTTCAGGAGATTTCAAGAATTAGTTTTTATGAGGAAATTCTGTGTCACCTGATTTGTCAGATGGACTAGTCAGGATGACAGTCTGGCTAATGGTGTGCGTCTCCTGTTTAAAGGCAGCAATAACCAGAGAATTTTGAATGCAATGTTATTTGTCAATTTGAAGAAATATTTCAAGTAAGTTAGGGCCAAACCAGGATAATATAGTATTTGCATAAACACACGTACAAGATAAGGGAACTGGGTTAAGCCACATTCCACAGGAAACCATGCCCCACAAAACGTACACCACTTCCTGAAAGACCACAGGAAGACAACCGAGCAGAAATCCTACAACAGTAAGCTGTCACCAGTCCAAAAAAAGCTGTGAGAAATCAATGCAAAGAATCTAAAACAGCATATATTTGTTAAAACCAATAGTCAGAACTTCTCACATATATCAGTGTATAAAAAATAGCAAAGACCCCATTAAGTTGCATTTGTGTACCAACTGCTTTCTTTTTACCCACTAGTAAAATTGTCACTAATACCACAACTGCTAACTCAACCAGTTTAAAAAATGAAGTTAATTAAGGAAACTGAGGTATGTAAATACTGTTGAGATTGTCTAATACAATAGACAGTTTGCAATTACAGTCTAAAAGTCTTCAGCGGATCTTCCTTGTAAGATCAGACTTTTTAAAAATGACTCAAATTTCACACTGATTTTTACTTACCTCACATTTCACAAGACCAGAAGAACTGAAGATAACAATTTTTGAAATGAGACCACTACAGTCAGGGGTGAAACATAACTCTTGAAGAAAATCCTGTGTAGGAAATAAAGATGAACAGAAAAGTATTCCATTTTTTATTAAAAGTGTAAAGAGAGAACAGCATTCCATGTAGAATTTGAAATGATTAAGAAAATTTAGACTGGAGAAAAAAAGGCTCAGACCTCTGCTCACATTAGCTCAAGGAAGCAAATCTCCTCATATCAAACCTATGGGATTTTCTTCAGAATATTACCTTTCTACATATTATTAGAGAAGCCCCAACTTCCTCTTTGTAAGCAGTACAACCTCTGAAGGATGAAGCCGCTTCTATGAACATGAAGACTATCGATACTGGCATAGCTTATTCCCGTACATTTAGGAAAATAACCTCTACTCTGTATTTACATCCATGTAGCAAATGAACCATTAAATTGGATTGTTGGGGAGGGGGAAAATCAAACTGCCCAACTAAAGTACCAATTCAAATGCTGAAATAGTATGGCTCCAAGACACTACTCACCTTAAGGATTTAAAGAAAAAGTAAATTCCTGGAAAATAAAAGGTTAACCAAATATTTCATTAGGAGGAAGAAACGGGTTTCACCTTGTCATTTCTGTCATTATATACTGTAGTTTTCAGCTTCTTCCAACAGCCGATGTGAAACTCCACTTTACATTGTTGACAGCACGTGAGACGTATAAAACCCTAAAATATAGAGAGAATATAAACGGAAACACGTTGAAGGAATAGAAAAAGGAATAGTTTAACAAAAATTGTGCCTCACAGGACTTCAAAATTGTGCAAGGCAGATACTGCTAGCAAAAAGTTTAAATTCCCAAAGCTTTTTCTTTCTTTTTCTTTCTTTTTCTTTTTTTTTTTCTTTTCTTACTTTACCTTAAAGTCCGGGTCAGTAAAATAAATCTGGATTTTAGAATGACCACTGCACTCCTGATAACGACATACTGCATCAGGGGCTGGAGGGAACTTGCATTCCTCAATATAATCCTTCAGCATCAGCTACAAAACAATCAAGAAAATCTGCCCTAAACTTTGTGCATAAAAAAAAAATAATCTCCATATACCCCCCAAAAAGCAATGAGGACAAACCCTTTTACTTGTATTTTCAAAACACTATAGGTGGGTGTCTGTAAAACAGATGCAAGGTGCTAGAAGAACAATTGTTTTCAAATACAATTGTTTAAAGTTTTCCCTACTGTGTTCCAGAACATCTTATAAATTCCTTTTTCACTTGTATAGCTGTCACGTAGCACACATACCCTCTTTGCATACAGCTTTATCAAGTCAAGGTTATTTCATGTGTCTAATAATCCTACCTACTTTAGGACAGTTGATTGTTTTCCCTCCTCAGACTACCCTGTGCCAAGCGGGGGAGTAGCATGCCTACAGAATCAAGGAGATCAAGGGAGTCTTTTTAATTCACAATCTCCAAGTTAGAGTATGAGATTTTTAAAATGAACTAAGGAATGATACTAATACAAAAATTGCTATGAGTTTTAGGACTCAATCTCCTAGTTGGTTTTTTTTTTTTAAAATCACCACCATGTCACTTTTTCATTTCACATTTGTGAGAAATTCCAAATGTTTATCATCAGCTATGATTTCATGACAAACACCAAATAACACAGCAATGTGTCAGTACTCAGAAATGACTTTACATACACCCTGGGTGTGTCTACATGTGCATTATATTTAGAAGCAATTTACTTGCAAGTAAACTACTTGCAAGTAAACAGTCCTAGGCAGGCATCCACACAGGCAGGGAAGAGGGAGCAATTTGCTGCAAATGGGAGCAAACTGCTCACACTTCCTGGGGCCCTGTAATGGGTGCCTGCTGCAACCAGTGGGAGCGCTAGGCCCTCCCTGGATGCTAGCCTAGGGTCTAGCAGGGAGCACTGGGCCAGGAGTCAACTGTCTCTTGGCTGGGGCATTGCACCACGGGGAGGGAGGAGGGGAAGGGCTGCCTGCTGCCAGGACTATGTCCTTCTGCTCAGGCAGCAGGTAGCTCCTGGCCCTGGATCCCAGATTGGAGGTAGGGGGCTTCGAAAGCGCTACAGGGGAGGGGCAGGTCCCAGCTCCCTGCCCCAACCCACTGGTGGGGCAGCTAGCTTGGTAGCTAGCAGTGAACTAGCTGCCCCACCAGTGGGTCGGGGCAAATGGCTGGGACCTGCCCCTCCCCTGCAGCTCTTTCCAAGCCCCATGCCTTGATCACTCGATAGGGGCACAGCGCTGGAAACCGCCCCTGACCAAGACAGTTCCCAGCCCCTGCTGCATGATTGTGGGGCAGGGACTGGGGAGCCTGTTCCTCACTCAGCTTGGTGATCAAGGAGCTGAGTGGGGAACAGGCTCCCCAGCCCCAACCAGCAGGGAGCTCCCAGTGCCAGGTCCACAGTCGCAAGGCCAGCACTGGGAGGTCCTTATCTCCTGCCCCAGGCTCTGGCTGGGAGATAAGGATCTCCCAGCACTGGCCCCACTATTGTGGAGCTGGGAGATGAGGATTCCCTGGCCCCTCAATTGCAATGGTGAAGCGGGGGTTAGGAGATAAGGATCTCCCCGTCCCCACTTTCTGATCGCGTTCTTGGAGAGGGGGGCGAGCAGCTCCCTGATGTTGGGGCAAGGGCATATAGTCCCCATGCCTGGGATCTGGTGACAGAGCCTGTCCCTACAACAGGCAGCTCCTGCGGGCAGGGAGCAATCTCTTGCACCCCTGGTGGCTGGCTGAACAAGAGCAAATTTGCTCCTGGTCAGACATCTACATGAGTGCTACTGTGCAGTAAGTAATGGCAAATAAATTTGCTACTTGTATTTACAGGCAACAAATTTATTCACGTTTAGCAAGGTTTACTGTATTTTCGCGCATATATCCCGCGGGGTATACGTGATTTTACACAAAAAAAAATGG